AGAAATACGATGACAAGATTAAACATCCGTTTGTGTCCAGACCAAAATGAAACGCAGTAAAGGCAAAAAAGGAAACAACAAAATGGGGGATGACATTGTACGCGATAAAAAATATAAGAGAAAAATCAACAGCAAGAGGGATCTATCCTTAGTGGGCATGTTCAAACAGCTGCAAATAAAACGGCTGGCGATCGTAAGTTCGTTGAATATGAACCACCTTTGGTGATACTTACTAAACAATCTGGCAGTATGAGTGTTTACAATTTCTAGCTGTTACACCGAGGCCACTTCAAAAGCGACAATCAGCATTCCGTTGGAGGTAGCAGGGAATAGCTGTAGGCGACCAATTCAAACCGGCGTGGTCACATGCTAATTTGAGGGAGGTTTACTGGCTAGGTGGTGCACCACCAAGGTCATAGTTGGTTGTGTAATCGTCTTTGAAGCTTGGAAAGAAAGGCAATCGTGTAAATGGGAAGTTCCTATAATTCCGAGTGAAGCGTACGCGCCTCAATAGCTACCTATAATGACTGAGCGGTCAGCCGACAGGCCTTTCTGGGGGAAGATTTTCGTGCATCTAGATGGATGAGGCGAAAGAAAGATTGGAAACGCACCAAACACAGTTTTTAGAGCGGCTCATTAACGCTTATTGAGGAGTTGGGTTGCGAAGCAGCAGAGTGAGGCGAGCTATAAGTCGAAGGCTACGGCAGGTGGTAACATACAGAAAGAAGTTGATGACTATACCATTTTACGTGCTCCGTCGAGGGTAGCGTTATAGACCCTCTGGATGGATTAGTCAGAAGAATCAACTGTTCAAGTCATGCAGGGAAACATGGGTACATGGTAGTTTTGCACGGTTTGAAAATTAGGTGGGCTCAGCTCAGCGAGGTTACAACCCATGGAAAATGGTAGGGTTTTTTTTAATTTAATGCCTGGGAAGCTTCAAGCTGCGTACATTTAGTGAGCCTTTGTTAACTCACGCAAGATATATAGTTTCTATTCTGTTGTAATCAATGTTTTGGATTCATAGAGTGGTTTCCTTGGATGTATGCTGCAACCGGGGAAAACTTAAGCAAGGGCGTCCGACAGAAGTTGGTTTCATTTCAATTTTCTGCGTACTCTGTGGAAATTATTGAGAGCTCTAATGGTGAGACAATCGTTCCGATTAAGAAGTTTTTGAAATCATCGGCAGTGTGTGCTGGTAATACGAATTTTTGGGATAGGAGTGGTGGTGCACGAAGCGCGTTTAACGTTCGTAGTCGTGGGTAGGGCGGTTGATGGGCTAAGTCCTGAATTCCCGGCAGAATGTCAAGCAGGATGAGGATAGACTTTTTGAGATAATTCTAAGGAAAGCAGGTAGTTGAAGAGGGAGTTGTCAGCCATGCAGCCTTCAGCATTATACGGGCTAGGGAGAGGTGCAGAAGCAATTAGTGAAGTGGGTTGCGGAAGAAAATTTTGACCAGGTGGGAAGAATGTGGATGGTCAGGCAAGGCTCATTGGAGGGGTATTCGATGAGGATGCATGGTTTATCTTTAGCTTGAAGACAGATAGAGTGATGGTATTTTTGCCGTGTATGACACTTGGATATGAGTTGCAGTTTTTTGGGCAGTAAGATATAGTAAAGCTTGAGGTCTCTAGCAGGAACATCATCATCCTCATCAGAAACAACTGGGTCATATCTGGAGTAAGCGTCGTATTCGATCACGTTTTCGGATGTCTTGGACGTGTTCCTAGAATTGAATATGGTTGGTAATATGGTGGCATGAATAATGAATTAGGAGACCAGGGCTCGTACAGAAGACATGGGGAAGAGCCTCGTGGAAGCCTGGAATATGTACGAGGTGTAAGTAGCAGGACGCAGAAGTGGACTGTAGTTGAGATTTCGTTCTCTAAGCAGCGAAATCGACGCCTACTGTCCATCCAATAATCAGATCATCATTATGGCTACGCCCGTGGACATGCGTATAAAGACTATTTGATTCCTGAATTCTCACGACTGCTTTGCATACACACTTCGCTGCGCCTAATAATGCACATGACCACCGAATCTTAACAACGCAACGTCAGTGCAAACACGGATCTTTGATTATCGGTAATGGTACTAGTAAGTTTGTCTTTATCAACAGCAAAACGTATTAAATAGCACCTTTGACATGCAATTGATCATACAACATTTCTTCAAGAATCCCTGTTGAGTTAAGGGGCATTCCGGAAAACGATAACTGGAGCGACTACGTCGTTGCACTCTGTGACGCATTCCAGCTAATGGGCACCATTATTTCCAGATAAGAATAAAGTTTTGGCTATGGTAATTAATTTGCAGATTTTTGAAAACGCTGTGTTAACCAACAATGAGTTGTGCACATCTGAGGATGAGGATAATCCATGGAGCTGCATACTAGCATCATTACTGCAAAATGCATCAAATTGTCTTTTGCTATTACACTGAACACAAGGCGCGCTTACCAAGAACCAATGTTGTATGGAATTTCGCCAAACAAACTCACCTAATTTGCTTCGCCTGAAGAGTATAACGATATTCAACTATCCACTTGTGCGGAATTGTTATCGGCTGTTCTGCGGCTGATGCTATTACCACAACTTCGTAAACAACTTCTCGTTAGTTCGTCCCGTACAAATTGGAGCTGCATGATAAATACCCCATTTTCGACAGTTATACATTGTTGCTGAATGGCGCTTAGGGTATCAATGATGTGTCAAAAACACTCACATCACACGCATGTAGCGCCCGTGTAAGTCACCGGGGATTATACTTTAAAAAACGTTAACCCTTGGGCAAAGACGGAGTGCGGCTAGAACAAACAATTGAAAACGCTGTTGCAGTTCATATAAACTAAATTAAGGTTCTACTTGGTGTTCAAATTCTACGGAGCCTTTCATGAACTCCTCACAGGTCACAAAAATTAAAAATCGAAAATTTGTGGTTACAGTGATATCCCTGTTCTGCAGATATTACATCATATTTCAAAAGCACCACAGAAGGTTAAAACATGCTAGGATTTGTTTTCGTGTTTCATCTCGTGAACTGGTAATCGCATGCAAATTTGTGGTGGACAGTGCCCTTGAAAGTTAGCCAACTTAAACCAAATCTTAGGAACAACATCACCTAAACCTTTGGTCGGGTCGGACAAAGTTTTCGTACACTTTTTAACTCCATAGACCCCATAGATTTCTAATGAGTGGCCGGATTTGGAGGATCTGGCAGCCGAGTTGAAACCTTAGATAGAAATCCCTAAGGTTAAGACAGATCGTCGCCGACCAAAGCTTCTTGAGATTCACTTGTCTTCTCTTTACCCTGCGCTGACTGCGTTGAAGAAATAACATACCTAGCATTTCATTCCACCTTACCAAATTTACGAGATTATCCCTAAGGTCGTCCACTGAACTCGATTGAGAGCTTTTGCGCACGGCAGCTTCTAGGGTCAAATATACCTGAGCCCATGTACCTGGCCAGCTATATGCGCAACGGTTTGGCCTGCGCAATGTACTGGTAAGGTTAAAAGAACAGTGAAAATGATTCCCGCGGCAGAAAAAGCTAGCACGTCCTCACAGCTCACATATTTGCATTATCCTCGTTATATTTCCAGTGCGAATGCAGGTTGTAATCTGAGCGGGGCGGAACCAACCAAGCGAGTAGCTCATCTTCTGGGATTCAAGAGCGGTGCCTGCTACATTTCGATAAAAGATTCAAGGGATTAGTCTTCGCGGTGCTGAAATATGGTGAAAATAGCAACTCAAACAAATTCGCGTGATCCGGTGATGTACAATCAGACGAAAATGGCGTGATCTACCGCCATATAACCAGATCGGTGAGAGTTTTCAACAAACCGATGACGAAAATTACTCAACTTAGATGACGCACCCAGAACCCAACATCGGACCGCCTACTGAATATTCCAGCCAACTTGTCTTTTCAGGATGCACGAAAAACCAAACCCTCATTGAGCGTCTAGCTACCTGCTACATAAATTGTCGCCGGCCTCAAATCCGTGGATTGTGAAACTCGTCCTTGTTGTNTAAATTGTCGCCGGCCTCAAATCCGTGGATTGTGAAACTCGTTCCTTGTTGTTTGTCCTCGTTCCCTTGGGTTATCGTCATCTCCGCCCTGTTTGAAGAAGGTTTGACCAACAGGGTTTCGACCGTTGACCCATCAACACACAGCGAGGACATTGTAAGAAGAGTTTCAAACTCACTTTTACTAAGAATAACCTTTATCCGACCGTTGTCTCTGCAAGTCTTCGTACTGACAAGCTTACTGACCCGCGCTGAGAACCGTAAGAGCAGTACTACATTTTTTCCGCTAACGCCGTTCAAGTGAACGGCAACTGCTGAATGAAAGGAACAAGACCCACCCTTGAAACTTAGGCGAAAGCCTCGGGCTTGCGCATTAATCCGTGGATCCATTAGCTTCAAAAACCGTTTTGACAACGTTCCAACTAAAAAGTGAGATCCGAAGTCAACAGCGATATAAGAGGCAATTGGGCTTAAGACGATGTAATAAACCTAAAGGGAACGCGTCTGACTCGTCGTAATAAAGTCCGAGTCATGAAATAACGTAGCAATATGCCAAGAGTACCAGACGCTAGAAGCAGCATATAATCAAACTCCCTAAAAAGATTTGGAAGCTCTTGCTTCTGTGAGGCGTGACATAATAACGACAGAATAGTTTGGGCATACATGTTTCGACTTCAACTAGTAAAACTTAACAGAGCTTAAGTTGCGGGTGGAAGGCTACGGAGAATAACAGTCATTGGGGAGCCCTCTTTCACGTGAGCTGAGGGTGCAGCGAACTTAATTGCAAGAGAATTGGAAATGACTCAGGTGGAAATTGAACTTTTCTTGCGAGACATATTTACGCGTTGTGGACATTAACGTCAGCCGTTATTTGACTCGACCAATTTTTATGCAGTGCTATAGATGACGAAGAGATAAAATGATGATGAAAAAGAGTAAGGAAAACGTGGATAGGAATTAACGCGTAAATGGATTCGTTTATAAAAATACGCGGCGTCGATAGCGTAGGAGAAGCTAGACAGTCTGATGATAAAGAAGAAAAATGGTCAAACGCAAACCAAGCCACGTTCTGGATGGCGAGATCTATGAGGAACTTCGCGATGACTAAGCAAACCAAGGAGCGAGTAAAATTATTAAATACGCTATTCGAGAGCAGATACACACAATCAGCTAGATCTCGCTTGTGCCCGGATACGATTGTTGCCGAAAACGTGATAACGAAACAGTACCTCGCAAGCTCTGGCGCAGTGGAGGATAATGCATATGTTTCCCGATTTCTCCAGCTGTGCATAAAACGTGATAACGAAACAGTACCTCGCAACGTTGTGGTCAAGCTCTGGCGCAGTGGAGGATAATGTATATGTTTCCCGATTTCTCCAGCTGTGCAGAATATTTCGTCACACTTGTTTCCTCATGAAAGCGATTAAAACAAAAGCAAATTTTATGCAGGGTAAACAGCGTAAAAGAGTAAATCACGCAAAAGAGTGCTTTCAGGCAAAGTAAAAAACCGTCTACATCTAGACAGGGATCACTATGACTAATCTGACACGTACAGAATACGGAGTATTTGACGTGGGGCTCGTTATATTGTCTCAAAATAGCTTCGGTGCGGTGATGGAGTAACTATGGCTGGGAAATTTCAGTCTTCACGCACCTCCTACTTGTCTTAATCTGATCATTAATGGAACCTACATCATGCATCCAGTCGCATGCAGCTTAGGACTGGGTCCACCCAAACCAGCATGTTTCTGGGAAATTAACGTGTCTATCCTCCAACAAATGAATGTCAACTTTTTTCATTTCCACCATGTCTTCAATCAAACAGGCATGAGTTTGATATCGTCATTCATACCCATCGTGGAATTCAGCCGCTCTGAGACGTTTTCCAAAGCGAGAAATAGTTCGTATCCCACTAAATTTCAGATGCAATTTCAGGACAACAGCAGAAGCATCGTAAAAGGCGACAGTCTTAACTGTAATTCAAGTGCCTTGATTGTCACGGCGGATGTTATTTTAAGCATCAATGGAGATGGGCACGTGAGCAAAGTCGCATGACACCCTCACAGTTAAGGGATTCTAATATTCTCGTTCTGCAGGCTGCTGAGTAAAATACCGAAAGGCATCTGACCGAGTAGTAAAAACTGGGTGTACATCTGACCACCCTGTGATCTCTAGTGTATTTTCCTTGAAAAACAACCACTACTGCTAGTGGTAGACAATCGGTTGTAAGCGTTTAATGGAAGAAACAAACAAGAATATGAATGTCACAGGTGAGCACTTATTAGTTTATTTAGTTGGAAGAACAAAACAAAAGGACAAAAATGTCGCAATCAAATTGTAACGCGCTTAAGCATATGATTTCCTAGTGGGATCAGAAGCCAACAAAAACCACATGTTTTATCGATTGTATCGAATAGCCCATTCATCAATATAATGGTTCCTCAAATTCGCCCATTCCTTGTGCTGCAATCTGTGATAATTGGAATAGTCGTAGGTATCGTAACTACCGAATGTACGCGAAGTATGGAAGTCCGAATATGGACGAATGAATATCGTATATTTTCGTATATCGCGGGCGTACTATATATATCGCATCGTAAAACAAAGGCATATAAAAATACACTAAACAGAATGAATAGAATAGAGTCAATGTTCACCACATCCACCACACGTTGAATGAGCGTGCGGGTGTTTATAGTCTCTAATAGGTTGGAACCTTAAACGTTCAGATCTTCTCAATGTCGGTTTGGCAGGTTCAGTGTTCGTTTCATGCTCATCAGAACCATCTATAGCACTAAATTCGACCTGATCGACATGCCGTCTGTGACTTGAAAGAACTTCGAGGTCAAGAACCGTGACCATACGATTCCCGTTCCTCCCGATAACAACACCAGTAGATGGACGTAGATCGTTACCCTTGAAAAATGTTACGTCGGCAGTCCCAATGCATTCCAGGTTCGTGCGTAAGGATCTCGACTTGAATAGCTCTGCTGGACTCTTACCAGTAATTGAATGAGCAGCATTCCTGTACTGCATCAAGAAATTATCAATACCTCGATCAAGATCATGAAAAGTAACAGGGGAAATAGAATTGATGGCAGATTTCAAAGTTCGAACAAAATTTTCAGCGAGTCCATTAGACTGTGGATGACGGGGAGCAGTAAATAAATGACGACAACCAAGTCCTTTTAACCAATATTCGAGAGATTTCGCTGTGAAGTGTGAGCCGTTATCAGTGACCAAAACAATTGGTACACCTTCACGACTAAATAGTTTCCTCAAAGCATACTGAGTAAACTCAGAACTCGGGGATGTCGTGAGAAATACTTCCGTCCAGCGTGAATAGGAATCTACAACCACCAGTGCATAATATTTGTTCAAAAATGGACCGCAATAATCTGCATGAATGCGTTGCCATGTTTCACAGGACAATGGCCAAGGAATCCATTTGGATGGTTTGGAATGAATTTTGTGTGTACAATTCATACAATCCTTAGCCGTACGCGCAATGTCTGCATCCAACTCTGGCCACCAACAAGTAAGTCTGGCAAGAGACTTCATTTTGTCGATGCCTAAATGTCCGGAATGCAAATCGGATAAAATGGCACTTCTGTGTGTTGGTGGAATCACGACACGATCGTTATAACACAACAATCCATCAGGTGTCAATGCTAAACTGTCTCGACGAGCATAAAATGCGGGAAATCGACGACGTTCTTGATGCGTCCATCCTCGTCTTAATGCAGAGATAACGGATGAAAAGTATTTTCGGGTATCACGCACAAGCTCGTCTCGTTTAATCGGAAGCGGTTGTACTAACAAACAATCAGAAACATTAGATTGTGATAAACTTTCTGGAACTCTGGATAGATAATCGACGTGCTGAATGGATTTAGCACCACGATGAATAATGTCATATGTATACGAACTGAGAGCGATGCTCCAACGTTGAACCATGGCTGCGGATGACTTAGCCAATGATTTCATAGGATGGTATATGAATTTCAAGGCTTCATGATCGGTCACAATCGTGAATGGTTTACCAAAAAGATACTTGTGTAGTCTACTTACACCCCAGTAGACAGCAAGAGCTTCACGCTGTGTTTGAGAATAGCCCTGTTCGGCTTGTGTTAGTCGACGGGATGCACAAATGACAGGACGGCCATTTTGTTCGAGAATAACACCTAATCCAGTTGGAGACGCATCAGTTATAACGGTTGAATGATCTTTCGCAGAAAATGGTTTCAAAATAGCGTCAGATTTAAGATAATTGAGTAAAGAACGCAAAGTTTTCTCATGCTCAGATATCCATGAAAATGTTTTCAGAGATAACAGTTCAAATAGACAATAAGCTTTCTGAGAAAAGTTAGGTATGAATCGGGAATAATATTGCAATGCACCAAGTATGGAACGAAGTTCGGACAGATTAGAAGGGGATGGAGCATTGACTAAAGGCGATAAACGTTCATTATCAGGAGAAAAACCATTTCCATCAACAGTGTAGCCTAAACATGATAGTTTGTAAACAGAAAATGCACATTTCGAAGAATTAACGGCAACATTTAAGTCATGAAATCTTTTGAATAATGCAAGCAAGCGTGAATCGTGCGTAACCTTATCGACAGCATGAACTATCACGTCATCTTGATAAGTTACAACACCTTCAAGACCGTCAGTAATTGAATTAATCACATCTTGAAATACAGCAGGAGAGACATTAAGTCCGAATGGCAAGAAATTATACCGATATAATCCAAATGGTGTATTGATGACTGTGCATTCACTAGTAGCATCATCAAGTGGTATCTGCAAGTATGCATCCTTCAAGTCTATTTTTGAAAAGATTTTTGATCCCGCTAGACGATACAACACATCTTCAGGTTCTTCTGTAGCACACGAGCGTTGAAGTAGGCTTTTGTTGAGTGTCAATCGATAATCGCCACAAATTCTAACAGTTTTACCATCAGACTTTAATGGCGTAACAATCGGCGTAGCCCATTTGGAAGACTCGACAGGTGTCAGAATACCTTTTTGGCACAATGAATCTAGAGCTAGACGCACTGGTTCACGCAAACCAAAAGGTACTATACGTCGTTTGAGGAAAATCGGATCACCAGAAACCTCGAGTTTCACTTTTGGTATGCGCATTCCTCCGGTGACTTTGGAGCAGCTCGTGATCAGTTGTTTCAATTCGGTTTCGTTGAAATTTGAAGTAAGTAGTGAAATGTTAACGTTAAGCGCACGTAAAACTTTGAGACCAATTATTGAAGGACCAGAATTCGATACAAGAAAATTACAATCAACAAAGTTACCACTGGAAACTTTGACTGGTATAGTACATGAACCAAGAAGCGGTAAAGCATGTCCAGTGATACCTCTAACAGATAATTGTGTCGGTTTTAAAACAGCAGTAGGATAAAATGCTATAAGATCTGACTCAGGAATAATGGATTCGACGCTGCCAGTATCAATGATAAAACTATGCTTTTTACCAGAGCCTGATATGAGCGTCTTCGACACATGCATAGAATTCGATAAAACAGATAAAGACATGGATGAGATGTTATCAGTCAAAGGCTTGATATCAGAATTTGAGTCGACAGTCAGTCTACAAACTCTTTTGGACTTACATACATCCTGAATATGCCCAATCTTACCACATGAAAAACATTTTGATTGGCGATGTATGCAAGTATATCTGGAGTGGTCCTGTCCACACGAAGCACATTTGCCAAGAACTTTTTTTGGTTGGCGTATTTGACGATTTTGAATGTTCGAATTCAGTTGGTTGTTTTTGTTATGATAACGCATATTGGTTTCAAATTTACCGTGTGGGCGACCTTCCAGCCCTTTCGACTTTAGTGCATTAAATAAAACGGTCTCGTTGCATTTGGTTACTTCTTTAACATCCTGGTATTGCTCGCAAATTTTTCTGATCGATATGAAGCGTTGATCAGTCTGTACTAGGAGCTTTTGTTGTAGATCTGGAAGATTAATTCCGGCAATGAGGCGATCACTCAGTTGGCTTTCAAGTTGTTGGCCGTAGTCACATTTTGCAGCCTGTGTTTGCAGTTGGAGGACAAAATCACGAATACTCTGAGATTCGGATCGAATAAGCGAATTGAATTTCGCTCGTTCTGCGGCCACAAAATTGATAGGCTTAAAATGACTGAGAATTAACTTCTTTAGAACATCGAATGTGCAATCGATCGGCGCCGTAGGGAATGATAAATTCTTCACAAGAGCATAAGCATCCTTCCCAATGTAGTGCAGGAAATAAGCTGTCTTCTTTTTATCATCCAGATCCGATTTGGTAAGACACCAAATGCTGAAGCGTTCCAAATAATCCTCCACC